CTGCTGGACTGCGCATTCCAACCAAGTTGTGCCGACTTAAGGTTAAATTCATCATTCAAGAGCCATATTCACTTTTTCAAAAAGAGACGGATGCGCACGGAAAACTTCCACTATGGCCTCGCCAATGCGGAGGCTCTCCATAGAGACACTATGACCACCTCGGGAAGAGGATCGGCTGCCATGCCGGCAATGAGAGTACGCATTTCTTGGATAAAGTCTGCTAATCTTTTCTTGCCCTGTGGGGCGGCAAGGAACCTCGATCGAACGCGATACGCTTGATTCGAAGGCAAAAACATTAGTGAAACTTGCAGCTTCAGCTTTGTCCAGGAGGGAAACGCCGCTTCCACCGAATGGCCGCATGTCAGAGCCCATTTTTGCGCTCGACCCCCGAGTTTAGAGATAGCTAGCGCCACGCGCTGTTGCTCGGTCTGGAGCATGGCAGACGCCATAGCGATCTTGACCTCCCTCACCTAGAGCAGGTTATTCTTTCAATCCTTGCCCTCGATAGTCTTAACACTCACCATGAGCGGCTAAGATTGAGGGAAGTCATCCGTCGCCGACAGTGGTGTCATGGACGCGCTCAGCGCCGACATTTTCTACCGCAGGTGCTATAGGATCGTGGCGATCGCTTCAGGTCCTTGCAAAGCAAGGTGTTGCACGCCCTCGGGGCCAAGGAGAGATCAGCTTTCCAACCCGTCCACCCTCACAGCGGGTCAGTCGTAACGACTCAGGTGTAGACTGACTACGAGTACTACGTAGTGCAGCGGGGCTGCCGTAGCTCTTTCGCTTTGGGGAAGTTTGGTTAAGGTCGGTTACCTTTATTCCATACAAAGAACCCGTACGAGTGTAGTGGATCACAATCCACTTACACCCTTAACCCAAGGCTAGTAAACTCATCCGCTTGAAACTAAACGGTATTTCTAGATTTTATTTGCGGCAAAGCCGCCTGTATTTAAATTTATAGGTTTTGCGATCCATAAAGTAAAACCTAATTAAATGTATAACTACCGGCAGTCCTGCCACGTACTGACTTTTTTTAAATGTAGCCACACTATCTTGTATAAACCACGCAATTGTGTGATCGCACCATCTTGTGCGACCCGCATCCTTCATATCAGGCTACGTGAAACTCCGTTATATCAGGGTAGTCCTATACGACGGAAGCCCCCCCCCAAATAAAAATACCTAGAAAGAAGTTATGTTAGGTAATTAATCCCAAAAGGATGACTGCGAAAGCATCGCAAGCTGGAAAAGCCACCAAATTGCTACGGTAGATCCGGTGGGAGAGCTAAGATAATCATTCTTCATGATAAAGTTGTACTTGCATGCTACTCAGTGTGAGAGAATAGTCGGCTATTCTCAATATATTCATATATTTGAATTATTTGCTGGAGGAGAATCATGTATTTTAATGAGAGACCTACCTTGAGTTTTATCCCTCGATTGATGAGTGTGTCATGATTATTAAACCTGGTCCATGGAAGTGAATATTGCGTCAAATCAAAGTGACCCTTACCAAGGGTATTGTCATAACGTCAGAGGTGCTTCTTTCAAGCAAAGTTCAAAGCGGGGGATTCGGTGAGAGAGTGAATATTTTCCTACTCGAAACCGGCCGTCTGTGTCATAAAGTCCAGCGCAAAAGCAGAATTGTGCATGCGTATGAAAGTAAATCTAGCTACAATGCAGGGGCAAACGCCAATTATAGGCTAGATGTGCGGCAAATCAGAATGGCACGTTTCACTGAGTCAGGGATCTTGGCCTCGTTATAGGTACTATCGGCTGTTGGGTAGGTGCGAGCAGCGATGTCGCTCTAACTGTGGTAAGTACTTCGAGCGGGAACTTCCGAAGTGGCCACCCGCCGCAGCAATAATGTAATGTATAAGCGGCTCTCAATTGGCTGGTGACGCTGATGATATATCTAGCAAACTCGCATCATACCTTTGTGCAACTCACTTTCGACGATAGGTTCGTCGACAAACCATACCTAGCACGAGAATAGGATGTTAACTTTCCCATTCAAGCTTGCGGGCAGTATTCGATGTGTGAGCGCCGACAATGTGATTGTCAACTATCTATGACGCTAACAAAATCTGTTTTACATCATTTTACCATGGTATATCGGCAGATTTCGCAAAGATCAAGTCAATTGTTAATCAGCCGGTACTTTTGTTTGAAGTGGGCTTGGATTGCTTGAGTTTTTCGCAATCATTACCAACTCCCCTTGTAACCGCTGTCAATGGTGCGGGGTATGAAACAAGAGGCGGTTTTAAGGCTATGAATGAAAGACCCACGAATTCCCCAATCTGGCTACAACCAATTTGTTGTAGCCACTTTGGATCGTGTATGACGCCCTAAAATTTACCACAGACTGTAGCTTCTTTTGAGCAGATACCAATGGTCACGGAAGCGTCGTCATGTTAGAATTGATCCAGCCCGATGCAGCAGAGAAGAACTATTTTTTCAAGAATACAAGCTACTTGCTGTAGCGCAAACTATCGTCAAGCTGAATCCAGCTCGCTAGTAGCGAGCTGAACGTCGTTGTAAGTTCTGCATTGGGAAGTTAAGAACCTCCCTCTGTAAAATTGAAATATCGCTCGCAACTCGCACAGACGTTTTTCGGCGCATAGCGAGCGCCTTAATCTTGATGAGATCTTATTGTCGAGGATCAGCTTTATCTTTATTTTGTTGTGATGGCATAGGTGGCAGATTATTTCAGTATTCTGAGAGTCACTACGTCCGTTCTTTTATAAGATAATATCGGCTGCCTCACCGAATATTGCATCAAGGTATTTGCGCAAGAGCTGCCCCTCAGTGGTCCAACATCTTCAGGTTAAATTTTCCGAGTAGCTCGTTGAGCCCATGTGAGTGGCACCTCATGGAGAAGACTCCAAAATGAATTATACCCAGAAGCGTTAGCTCTGTTGGGTTCAATTTCGAAAGATGAGTCTCCGGTCCAATCGGTATTCGTGACTCCTTCATTACTGCCCATTGACTAAAAATGTTACTGTAACTCCGTTGTGGTTCGAATTTTTGTGGGGAGGGTGTAACGAGCTGCTTATCATATTGGAGTTTACGTACACAATGCCAAGTTGTCGCTCGACTTTAATCTAATTCAGGACCAATTTAGGAATCACACAGATGACGCTTCATGAAATATATAGATACAGTAAAAAATGGTGCTCTGAAAAGGATGGGTCCACTGGACATGTGGAAACCTAGCAACATGCTGTACAACACGTAGGGTTTTCATACTCAAAATAGTTATCAAATATTCAGTACCATTGAAAGCTAGATTTAAAGCTTATTTTTATCGTAAAATTTTTGCAACATTAAGAATTTAGCTACCTAAGAGGCTCTCGGACAGGCTTTGGGCTGCTGCTTAACAAATTTTCTTCTGTGCGGGTGCATTCGAAATTCATAGAATTAAAGCATCCTTTGTGCGATGTGCACGGACATTATTACACCTCTAGCAAAGAACTGTCTTGTATCGGCACACGTAGGTAGACTCCTGGAAAGGAATACGTTGCATTGCAGTTCATGAAGATGGGCCGAGAATCCTTTTAGAAGCGACGCCCTCCAAAGGAGGTGGAGCGTATAGCCCGGAGGAGAGTATTAAATATCTCGATGTCCTGAGAAGCTTTGATAGATTTAGGGACTCTCGGAACTATTTGCGATTCACAACCATTGTAGTCAGTACAAACATGTATTGAGTATACCAAGTACGGATAACATATCCATGCGTCATGGGTCAGGAGCATACTGTAGAGAGTCATAAATAATTATCCATTACGTATATAAATTAAAAACAAATGATAACGGGTACCGCTAAGTGGTCTTGGACTCAAACTCAAAATTCCGCAGCATCCTAGGTATGCGTGGCATTGACTTCTAGAAGGAGTTGAGTGGGATGCATTTCGTATCTAATTGAACTTATGCGAAACGACATTTCCCCTCTGCTAGCGAGCACAAGCGAGTTTGGCGTCTACAATAGCTTACGATCAAGAGTTGTGAATGTTCGAAATTGGTAGCGATAATTTTGAGTTATCATTGTGGACCGGAAGTCGAGATTAACTGAGGGAGGACTTCGCATTATTGAGAGCGTATAGAGATTCCAGCAACCGGAACCCACACGATAGGATTTAGCTGTCTCTAGCGCGGGATGATGGTAGCTATCCGGCCTATTTTGGGACCGAGTTCCGTATCCCTCATTACACTGTGGGGCTTATTCGGTCTGTAGGGCCTCCTCCCACCCAACCATCACTCACCCAACTGGGTGCGGGTTGGCAGGGCGGTCACACCACAGGGGTGTGATTGCTCGTTCACTGAAGTGACCTAACTCCGGCGTCCTTTATTCGTATCATATGGATATTGAGCCAGGTATTTGGCGGTGAGCAACTCGAACCCGAGGCGTGCTTCTGAAAATGAATTAGCCTCTCAACAGCCCATCAAGCTAAATTACCTTTGATTTTTAATCAGTAATCTCGTTATCCCCATGGCGAGCCTTAAATTGATCGGTATGACTTTGCAGCTACTTAAAAACATCTGAAGATCATCAACATTCGCTACAAACTCATGATGTGATAGTCATGCGCTACCGCGAAAACTCATAGAAGTTAGATATGTGCAGGTTGTGCCCTGCTTGCACTTCTTGATGACGAATTACTTCTTTCTACGACAGATGATAAGCTGACATGGTGTTGATCTTGAAGCCGCTAGTTTCCGCAATCGTACGTCAAGCTAATCTTTCTGGAACCATGACAACAGATTACCTTTTTCAGCATTAATGGTACACCAGTGAGCGCCACAATGAAAAGTAGTATCCATTCAGCCTCAGTCAGCTTTGGAACGGTAAATAATCGCGGCAAAGTTCAAAGAATGCTGATTCTGTGGAGCAATAGAAGCTGGTAAACCCTGTCAAAACTGATCGTTTGTTAGCAGGTCTCTTCTGAAAGATTCTGCAAATTATAATATATTATTCTTCAAGACGATGAAAAATATATTATCTGTAATTTATAACAAGTTTGCCTAAATGATCGAAGAAGAGGAGTGGTCTAAAGAACAAGAAGCCAACCGCAAGCCCGGTCAGAAGCACCCGACACCGTCTCCAGGATTTGCAGATCGCGTCTTTTACGAAAGTCTATTGCAGCAACGACCGGATAGTCGTATGGCACAGAAATGGTGTCTTGAGTACGGCGTGCTCAAGTGGGCAGAAGCCGAGATGCTGTGTAAAACACTCGGTCTTAGTGCTGTACGTAACGCATAATTTATTTTTATAGCCTTTTCTTTCCGATACGATTGTATTACTAGAATGTCACACACCCTACCAAGGTGTCTAAAATCAAGAAACAAAAGAGCAGCGCATCTTCGGCAGTGCGACGTGCTCTGGATGAGTCTGAAGCCGCAGCCTCCATGGAGATAACAAATGGCAGCTATGAGGGTATTGGCTTAAGTGCACTATAGAAAAGAGTGAATACGTGTAGGTTAAAATATGAAACTGATAAGCTGCATACTTTTACATTTTATTGATCCGTACGGAAGTGAGGAGCTTCAGAGTATCTCACTGGTCTTTTGAAACTCCGTGGGTACATTTTGAAGAATATGTTCTCGAATAAAGAAATATTAGTCATCGACTGTTTAAGAAAGCATCTGGAAATCTGAATTAAATGCAGCTGCTGATACAGTTAAGAGCGTTCGACTAACATGTTGTGACGACTCTTAAGCTAACATTTCAACACGTTGGCACATACATGGCAGTACGGACTAACGGTAGAGATGACGACGCATCGTACTGGCGATGGGCTCTCACGTGATGGCCATGTTGTCAGTTGAACGTTCCGTCAAATGTCGGCAGTGAAAACGATGATGATTCAAAGTCGTAGATTTGTCATACCGATGTCCATTGTAAGCTAGTAAAGTTCATGTTGGTAGTTTCTTATCCAACATTTCCTGTTCAGTATTTTACTAGATATGCTTTACTTTTTTGTGCCTAAGTGAGGTTCAACGAGACACTTAGGTGTACAGTGTAGTGTAACCAGCTGTTTCAACAAAAAGTACCTGCCTACCAGTAGGTAGTAGCTCAGAAATATTCCCACTGTTTCAAACTGCGAACATAACATTGCAAAGTATATAGTGTCTGACCCACATCGCTTTCAGACTGGATTTAATATACCAGAAGTAGTTAACGCCACCACCATGCACTCATCAAAAAATAATTTCATAGTCGTAGTCGTCAATCGTATTTTACAATATATCTCATGACTTGATCCTAAAGATGACAACCAATTCCTAGCGCAAGCATTAAACGTGAGGACAGGCGTTTAGGTGCCGTTTGAGCAACTGGTCATCGTCATGTCTTTCGACGTTCGTCATCAGCGACTATAAAACCATTACAAACTTGAATAGAATCTAGAGAGTACTCTCATCTCAACGATGACATTGCTTGCGCGAAAAATCCGTCGAAAACTGTGAGGGAAGATGAAACCGTCAGAGTGTCGAGTGTGTCACTCTTTACAGTACAGTGTGCAGGACAACCTTGAACTGCTGAACCAGAAAGACGCAAAAGATAGAAAGTAGTGCAGGTAAAGCATGTGCAGTTACCACAGACTGCCAAGCTGCCAATAACCAAGAATTGTGTTTTTCCACCACTATTGCACACCGCCACCATTTCTAGTTCCTCTTTTGAATCCGGCCAAGTGGCCTCCAAGTCACTTTCAAATCTGCCGTGGCGGATCACAAACAGGACAACATCAGTCGTGTAGCGACGCATATTCTTGAATACTACGATTTCTCAGACGTCACGAATTGTTCGAAGCAATTGTTGGCCACAGCTCAATTTCAATAGACCTCCAAAATATCTACTTTGATCATGAATAGCCCGATTCTACCTTCCGTGCACACAATTGCCCCCTTACTTACAGCATTTCCAGCATCGTCAAGCATGTCACGTCATAAAAGGTCACTTGCAGCATCATACGCATCGTACGCCGTTCGCGTCCACACAAGGCACGGCATTAAAACCCTGACTTTTGATGTGCTTGCTCAGCTATTCACATCCACCGCTAAAAAAGCGGCAGAGGATCTTGGTATCAGTAGTCGCACGCTTATTCGCGTGTGCCGTTCGCTTGGGATCCGTCGCTGGCCATATCTCGGATTTCGAAGTGAAAAAAATGTCGAGCGTATTCGCCACGAGGCAATGGAGAATTTGCATTGTAAGCTGATGAAAGAAGGCGAGTCGCTGTCAACAGCAATTTTGCACTGCAATGCTCCCAATTTTCGAGGTGCGAGCGCTAAGCGTCTGTTAAAGATGCCGGAGCTGCGCCCGCCATCACTTGATGAAGCAACGCCATCAAAAATATCCACTGTTTGTGCAAGTTGCTGGTCTTCTCCTCAAGCCCCATCAAACTCGACCACAACTGTCCCCAAAGATGACACACACATGTCTGGTTCCGTTGATAGTGGTTCCGTTAACAATGTGTCGTTGGCAGCAAGAGCCACAGCGACCTTCGTGGTTCCAGATTTTTCAGCAAAACCATTATTATCTCCACCGTCCACGACTCAAAGCTTCAGATTTGACCTCCAGCGAGTTAGTCCATGCAAGGAAGCAAGCATCGCTACGTCGATTGTGAGCCCATTTCCTAAAAGTAATACGTGGATGGCCCGAAAGGTCTCTAATTGGACACCTGTGTCATGCAAAACGTCACCCATTCCATCACTGGATCTACTTGTAGATGCCTCAATTCTAACTCGTTTTAAAAACGAAATACCGACAGACCAGGCACGCGGTACCCAACAGCTTTCCACTCCCCCTCGTGCTATGTCGATGAAGGACATCCTGACGCTGGGCCATTAAGAATTCTACTGTTTGTAGTCTTTGTATTGTCAGGTTCTACTCAAACAAAAATAAATATATGATCTCTCCACAAACAAATTAATATCAGTGCCCATGTATCATGTATCTACGAATACGCTCGACTGCCACCTCCTGTGCCGGGTGGGCATTGATAATCTTGCGGCAGCATATAATTTTGCAACGCGCTGAAACAATATTGAGCTTTTCCAATGTTCTTCCGTGCATTTTCACGACGAACACCGTACGTGCGAAGCAGATTTGTAAAGGCCTCCATATCGTCAGCGACAAGTCCATGTGAACGCACAAGCAAGTTTGCCTCTTCAAGAGTGATCGACATGGATGTCCGATCCTTTGCAGACTTGCACATCGTGACTCGACCGCCCCCAACACAACGGGCGATGGATGATGACAGACTGAGAATGGCCATCCGTTTGGATCGACCAGAAAGCTGAATATTCACCTTCAAAGCAATCAATGACGTCTGAATACGATCGAGGTCTTCAGTACTGTAAATCGGAATTGATGACACGTCTCGACGCTGTTTTTTATGAACCCACTCAGTAAAGTTCTTTACATACGCCTCAAGCTCCATCACGTTTTCAGCATTAATGTCTTTTTGGACAGATGCTTTGCCGACCGTATTAGCAACTGTCTGCATTTCATTCAATCCCTGAGAAAATATCACGGGTACAACTCGGATTAGCTTCTGAAACAAAAATTTTGCGCGCATCTTTTGCTCTGGGGTTGATAGCCAAAGATAGATAGCTCCAGACACTGCGTCTTGACCTGGAACTCGATGCATACTACGATGAGGGAATTCACCTGCTTGGCGCGTAATGATTGGAAGTTCGATCACGAAGCCCGAAGGTCCAGATGTAATGGACACACGAAAAGCGGCTGCTCTTGGTGATTTGACAGGCCGCAGCTTAATTTGAACGCGCCCAAGTTCTTTGACAGCTGCCTCTGTGTCACCTAACATTCCTAATTCATTACCATACGTTGATAATAGGCTTTCAACCGAAAAAAGAAATCCAACTCTCGTGAGCATTTCAAGGTAGTCGATTCCGCAAGCTCTAAGTGGATAAGGCCCAAAATCCCGGTGGTCGTGCGTATGCACATAAAGCGTTTGCTGAAAACATGTGACAAGAGCGCTCATCGCCTGACAAAACGCTACTTCAAGTCGGCGCTCTACATCCCACTTCAGTTCATTGTACTTACGCTCTAAAGCGTCCATCGTGAGATCTGAACTTGCCTGCGCGGCTTTTACTGATCGTGCTTGAAACTTTTCCAGTTCTTCACGCATTTGCCGCACACCACCGCTTTTAAACCCATACACGTGTGCCGCAAATGCTCCAACTGTTGTCGTTCCGTACATTCTGTGTTTGTAAAATGGAGGGTGACCTGTTGCATTCGTATCAATAGCCATCAATTTCTTCTTCATATTTATACCGGATACTGAGCCAAGCGACCTTGAATAGCATTTCACATCGTCACAATCGGATTCGTGTATAACTATTCTGGACCCAATGTCGACTGCATTCGAAGTATCAACATTGTCGTCGAGCCCATAAATACTTTTGAACTCTTCTTCGGTTATTCCCATCGCGACAATGGTCTCTGCCAGCTTTCGCTGCTCAGAAGGAACATAATCACCCTGTCCCGCAGCTCCCTTACTGACAATTGTTTCTGCGGAATCAAATGAAATCATTCGTCGACGTAATGCCTCAACAGGCTCCAGTGGTAATTCTTCCGTCGGCAAATGCGAAACAGTATCACTATCATCGGCAATTTCATCATCCACAAACTGCACGGAATCCAGATCAGTCTGCTGCCCACGTACGCTCGATTCTCGCGATTGATACGGCGATGACACAAGAGTTCCGACAAACGAATTGACGAGGCGGGCGTAGCGAACAGCGCTTGATTCGTCGCCGTGCTGAACATCTTTGGTAGACGTAGGTGCTGCGTTACCAACAGTCATCAACTGCTGATGAAGATTAAGCGCTAAGAAACGTAGGTCTGCGTCTGCTTTCATTGTACTTGGTTTAAATGTAAGTCCAGCATGTTGAGTGGCTCCGTATCGCAGAATAGAGTCTTCGACCTCGGAGATATATTGCTCCATTCTTTTAACTAGATCCATACGCCACTTTCGCTTCTTCCGCTCGATAGCATCGTCTTGGATTTGTATGATCATTTCCGAAAGCATTCCAATGCTAGTTGCTGGTCTAACTCGATTTTCCAATTTTAAGGAAGAGCTTAATTCTAAACTGGTCGATCTTAGCGGATCTGTCTGTCCTAACGATTTCATTGCTTCCTCAGTGTCATGTTCTTGCACAGCATAAAGTCCTCCGTTGAGTGGCAAATTTATCGGTGGCGCTAAACGGCCACCAACGCTAGGGGTGGAAAATTGGCTGGAAGGAGTCGACGAGGAGCTTTCGCTGCCATTCTCAAAAGCAATTTCACGCTTTAGTATATCAAGCTTCATTAGTAAGTCAGATAGAATCAATTGCAGTAATTGATAAGGGACTTCCCACGTATATACACTCTCGATCAATTCTTCTTCTACCAGCATTTTACCGTGCGTCCTTTGACTGGTAGACGCAAGACTGATCATCTGTAAGGCAATCTCAGATAATGTTGAGTCGTTGTTATTAAGGCTGTCCTCTATGCCTGTGTTTTGAATACCAATATACATAAATGACCGCGTGATACGCTCAAGCCCGTCACTAGACATTCCAGCATGTAGACCCTTAACCTCTGCTTCACATCGGACAACAATCTCACCCGAGGATCGAGTTCGTGACAAAGGAGAATAGAGAGACAAAATGGCTGCCCGTCCAATTGCAGGTACTGAGCCTATCATAAATGATGATAGTGAAAAAACTGGGTCGCCAACAAGCCACTGACTATTCAAGTCCTCCAAAGATTTTGGATTTCTTACTGAATACACCGAAACGCGAAGTACATCTTGTTCACGCATATCAACGGGTAGCATCGTGTGAAAGCATGGGTCTTTGGAATATGAAACCTCGGTATGGCCAATATCCGCAATCACCGTACCTGTCTCGGAATTTAATTGTTGCAACACAACAAATGATGATGGCCGAACAGTTGACTTAGATGGCAAAGTCAAATTAAAGCACTGAAACGATAGCCAGGCGCGGGGCGTCGGAGACCTTGATTCATCGTTTCGAGATCCATCATTGAAAGTCATAAAACTCGTTCTTGTGTCAAATTCAAGTAATTCCGAAGGCGAAGCTACACTGCTTGTTGAATCAAGCCTAGAAATTTTATCGTGCGACTGTTGCTCTTCACTAATACCACCTAAATGATGTCGCATCACCGATTCTAGTCGTCGTCTCGCCCGGGCCAAGACACCATTGCCAAGACCTAAGGACAACGGGCTTGGTCGACGACCAGATGCTAAGTAACCACTTTGTACGCCGGGTGGTGAAGACGGCAGCGTGACTGTTTGATTTGACGTCACACGAATCCCGTCCATCAACTTTTTCGTCGCCACAAGCAACGGTCGGGGAAACACTTCTTGTTTCAGCAATGGCGTTGTTTCGGTTGTCACGCGTCCTTTAGTAAAGCTTAAACTACGTCTTGACGGGATCTCCAGCGTTGGCTCCACCTCCCACATAAGCACAAGAAACAGCGCACATGGTACAATCTCTGGAATAGCGTACCCCACGACCACACATACGTCTGGACTGTGAATATCTCCACATCCTTGATGTGAAAATGGTCGCTGGACATAAATTATTGTTCGTAGAAAAAACAGCACTGAACACACACCCATGACACTACTTGTAAATCTCAATGCTCTTGTAAGTTTCTTTTCCACACGTTCATCTAATCGTCGTCTAATTCCATCACCGGACGGTTTAAGGACTCTCTCTACTCTTCGGCGCATCTTCCATGTTGAGTACACGAGGCCAAGCGAGCTGACAAAGCTACCTAAAGCAATAAAGAGCACGGGTAGCACGCCTGTCCAAAGCGTTGATGAATCAAGTCGAGACTTGGTATGCTGAGCCTCAATTACCTTGGCCTCGTGCATTACAGAAAGTCCTAAGACAGCAGCGTAAAAGAGGCCGTTAGCCACAATAAATGCGATCCAGATGCGTCTTGAGCGGGTTGAGATCTTTGGATTGGCAATGTCAATCCACAACAATGTTTGGAATAGGACAAGGCTAAAGAAAAGACACAATGATGCACGATTAAGTAAATTGCGGATGACACGCTCGCCTACGAAAGAGGCAGCGCGCGTCAACGCAAATAGTACCATAAGTCGCTGGAATGTGCTGCGCTGGCTACCATGTAACGTTGATCCTTGTGACAACTCACGACACGCAGCTACTAGTGCCAGAGTTATGTAGAGAGTAACACACAAAAATTCAAGCGCTGGAGATGCACGTGGTAGGAATACGAGGCCATCGTCTACGACAAATGGTAAGGGTGCAGACTTCATTGCATGCGGAAGTGGCCGGAGCTATTTACCTTGTTGGAAAGTGATATACTGCACTTGTACCGGTAATTAAGGCATAATGGTAGAAATACTGTATGCAATTTCTCAAATTTTGTTACTGACTAACACGTTTCTTGTAAAACTCATATGCTGGTTTGTGAATTGGATATTTACGTAAGAAACGAGGATATTTAAGGTAGGTGATAAAAGCAAAATACACAATCAGTATCAAATTCGTTTGTGTTGTGTGGCTTGATGCATTTGGAAGCGCCACATTCCTCAATTTTCTCTAGCAACTTCAATTTGTGAAATTTTTGCCACAAGTTGAAATTTGAAGCTGGTCTATTTGTTGAATTGGCGTTGCGGAAAAAAGTTTGCGCCTTGAACACAGTATTTCGAGAAAGGCGATTGTTTAGTTAATAGTTGTGTTGTAGGAATCGCACGACTTTCATGCACAATTTTATCGTGTATTGTTTTAGTATGCGCTTATGCAATAAACAAAGTTGTCAGGATACTTTCATTTATCTTTTTTCATTAATCGAAAATGTATGACTGAATTCATTGCATAAAATTGTCTAAATGACATATGGAGCAAATATTATGTAATTTGCATCTGCAGAACTGTCTGTTACGGATTGAGAAGTTTCTTGGCAGTCATTGAAACGAGTATTTGTGGTTCTGCAGGAATAAATACTTTATACTTTAAAAGGGATTCAGTATATTCCATTCAATGTGTCAACGATTACATATATCGCTTTGGGAGTCTTAGTTGCGCACGAACTCGATGACTTTTAAGTAAAGCGTGCTCGCTTGCTGCCACACTAAAGATACAAAAGCTAGATGATATGTCAAATTTTAATTTAAATTCGATGACAACATTGGCTTCACTCTTGCTGTTTTGCGACTTCCTCGAGAACTTACTCCACACGACAAGTGTGGCGCTGTTGCGTCGCATTTTCAGCGATTTTTACGCTGGTAATGAACATACGCTACAAGATTTCATGCGGCTTGGTGCAAGCGTCATTTCCGTGATGCCCTTTCGAAAAAAGAGTTCTCGACATATGAAAGAGGCAGCACGGCTACTGGCTGAACAGCGAGAATCAACCATTTACGAAGGTTGCATTGTCATGGAAAAATTGCGGCAGCAGCAAAATCGTACGAATTTATCAGATTCCTGTATCTTTCGCTACCTTTTTGCACGTGTGGCCACCAAAAACATTATGTGGCTGCGCGATATGTTTAACGAATTTTGCATCGGCGAGGAGACAATGCTGCGTGAGTTTGTGCGTCGTGGTAGTGATGTGATCAGTATCATTCCTGTTGATATTCAGGTGATGGGTATAGCTCCGCAGCCCCACCTGCCATTATTTATAGCGACGACAATGTCAGATGAGGTATCTCCACCACCGACTCGCAATCAGATTGATGAGAAAAAGAGCAGCCACATGGTGGTGTTGACTTAACTTAAAAGAAGAGTCTAATGACACATCGATCTTGAACGAAAGGCACGCCTAATTGCGTCCTGAACCAGAAAATAATCCTACTCGTATAATTTACAAATTTGGTGGGTAGCATTACAATTTTTTAAAAGATGGCTCAGATATCTCGTCGCCGAAGACTGTGCGTCGCTATGTGCTGCGACTTCTTCTACCCTCGACTGGGTGGCGTGGAGATGCACATGTGGTCTCTTGCCCAGTGTTTACTTCGCCGAGGTCACAAAGTAATTGTGCTCACCCACGCCGTACCAGGCCCATCGAATGGACAAATACCGACGTATCGCACTGGCGTGCGCTATATGACGCATGGTCTAAAAGTTTATTACCTTCCTGTGACACCGGTCGTGGATAATGTCACTTATCTTACATTTATTAATCACCTCGCACTATTTCGGTGTATTTGCATTCGCGAGTGCGTACAGATTGTGCACGGCCACCAAGCAACGTCCACGTTCATGCACGAGTGTCTTTTGCAGGCCAAGACACTGGGTCTAGGCATAAAAACGGTGTATACCGACCACTCACTCTTTGGCTTCGCAGATGCAGCCAGTGTTCATCTCAATAAAGTCATGAAGTTCTCCATGTCCACAGTAGACGCTGCGATTGGAGTCTCACACACTTGTCGAGAGAATTTAGTGCTACGAGCGTCACTATCGCCAGACAAAGTGTCGACAATTCCCAATGCAGTTGACGCGACAAAGTTTACGCCTCCAGCTACTGTACAGCTCAAGGCTGAAGATTCTATTACAGTTGTCATTATCTCAAGACTGGTATACCGAAAGGGTATTGATCTCGTGGCTCGAACGATTCCGCTTGTGTGTGCACAAAACCCGCGTTTAAAATTCTTAATTGGAGGTGATGGGGCAAAAAGATTATTATTGGAGGAAATGAGAGAGAAGTACCAACTACACGATCGGGTGACTTTATGTGGGGCTGTGCCTCATGCCCAAGTGCGACATGTGTTATGCCAGGGTCATATTTTTTTAAATAGTTCGCTTACTGAGAGTTTTTGTATCGCGATTTTAGAAGCGGCAGCGTGTGGACTGTTTGTTGTTAGTACAAAAGTTGGAGGTGTCCCGGAAGTGCTTCCGCCTGATATGGTGCAGTTTGCAACGGATATGACGCCAGAATCTTTAGCAGAAGCAGTTCTGGCGGCTGTACCTCGTATTGCAGACGTCAATCGACAAGAATTTCATGATCGGGTTGCTAAAATGTACAATTGGGAAGCGGTCGCAGTGAGGACAGAAAATGTATACGAAAAAGTGCGGGCATTGCCGGATACCTCGCTTCTTCACCGTTTGCAACTTTATCACGGAATTGGTCCAGTGGCTGGAATGTTAGCTTGTGTCATCGTCGCGGTATTGCATTTGTACGTGGTTTTTCTGGAGTGGTGGCAACCGGCTGTAGATATTGAGCTCGCGCTTGATTGGGATCCTAAAGAAAAACGAAAAACTGAATGAACGGAATAAGGCTTCTAACCAGAAAATGTTTTTTTTTTTTAATTTAAACGATGACACTTACTCTTATATATAATTTACTATGTGTTGTAACATTTCAGTAATTTCATGCTAGCAAATAATATTTGATGCGTTTAGAGATGAAATTTATTGCATAGCTTGCTATAACACGACAATCTATGCAATCAGTAAGTACTCAGAATAAATTCATAAAGTTGACCAGACCTGTGCTCCTGAAACGATTGTATAGGATAGTTTCAATAAAGCGTGTCGTACCCTGTAATCGCGTGAATTACTACTCCGGAAGTAAATCTATCTAGCATAATCAAGATTTCCGGATTTAATAATGCAGAAGATGGCTCATCAAACGGTGAGGACTCAAAGCATTTGCATCATCTCGAGAGAAGCTGTCGATTGTAGTCGTATGGTGTCTGGCCGAGACATTTTTTTGTCAAACCTTGTATCTTTTAATAAATCACTTTTGATATTCCAAAACTATCAAACCATCAAATTCAATGTGCTACAAAGCATTGCACTATCTACTTTTAAAATTGAATCTAGCACTCCCACCATCAAGAAATTCAGTCTTTCTAATCAGATAAAGTCAATGTTTCGCAACTGTTCTGAATCTGAAAGGCGATTACAAAATTGCTGACCCGTAATGGCGTCACCCGAACGACTTTGACCTCAAGCGGCTGGTAGCCAGAACTCAACCTCCTGTTTCACTTATCGAGCCAGGATATACGGCAACCAACGAATATTGGTATCTCTGGAAGTTTTGCTTGGTCAGTTACAAACAATCTGGTTTGAAATGCTAAGGTGTGTAAATTGGTAAATATTGGTAATAACTCAATACATTACATCATAAACACGCGCGCATTTTTCTGGTCTAAGTTGTGTCAGCTCCGTACGTGCTACAGTCTGCAATCATTGCATAAAATCGAAATTTCATACATTGCGGTCCTGCCGCAATTCTGAGACTGCAAGTTGATAAAGGAATCGTTAGTCACGTTCTGGTATACATGTAAAAGTAGAGTGTAGTCTTACGAAGTCCTGACAGAAAAAAAAATAACGATGTCGATGCGTATGTCATATGACACAGTTAGGGTTGTATAGCTTTTTTGCCATCTTTCCAATATTAGTCCAATGGTCTTTAAGCCAATTGTCTATCCAAACGTCTACTTCCTTTCCATAAACTTAATTTTGCTTCGCTCGTCATATACTCTCTCCACCGTTGGTCTGCTATATTCGTGCCGTAACCATACCGATAGTGATACGTTTCGAGTCTCTTAATGTAAATGCTCCTCAGCGTTTTGAAATCATGCATTCTAAACATCGAAATTTTAAGAAATACGAATATAAATATTTAGTCTGTAATTATTGATGTTCTTTCTCTCGTAAAAATATTATACCGCCATTTTGGTATGAGGAGCTGATACCTCTCGTGTGATTGTATGCGAAGTGCTTGTGAGGATCGAGATTTAGAATGACTATTTAAAGTAACAGACCAAAAGCTCTTGACCAGCTTAGTCGTCACATTTGTCAAGGGTAGTACGATAAGAGTATTCACTTTTACGTACCAGAACGACGCCCTGTTTATCAATTGAAAAAGAATTTATAGAAAAACGTCTATTAAGGGACGAAGTGATACTCGCAAAAATATTTAGGTATCCTTCTTTTGAACCAAGCCAAAAGGTGCAACATTCTTTTAGACATAATTTTCTTTTGGTATATATACTTTGCTTCTTTTAGCAATGTGGAATGCTCTGATAGCTCGCAACGAACAATCATCATGTCAATGGCGTATGAGTGAAAATCATCTATAAGATTGATTAATCAGCGAAACTCTTCAAAATTATAACATCAGTTCAGGATTTTTTTTGACTGTCATTGCATGGCAAACTAAAATTTGCCTCTATGTAATTATTTTATCAACACAAACATTGGTACTTGTGTCTTCCAAAATCAGATTTATGAATCTGCAGATTTAGCTCCACTCATGGGTCCATTGTTCGTTTTCTGTTCAATCTTCTGGATACACTGAAATAAAAATTGAAGACGATTTGTTAAATATTGTAAATGACCAAATTTTGTACAACCGCCCAAAGTAGAGCAGTCAAAAGGCAGACGGCCCATCAAGAAGGCGCGACACAGCACGGCCTTAGAGCAATCCTTTCATTGCAAAGTAAATGGATCCAGTTCAACCAGCGGTTTCTTAGAGCCTTGAGTGCTTCTTTTGTTTGTTGCATCCTCACAGTATGTCTAGGTCGAGTGCAATTTCCAGTTTCCATAACTTTTTTGGCGTAAAGCCAGATAATCAGCTCGGAAGCGTACATGAGAAAGTGTCGAAAAATCTGCTGCTGAGTGTATCCCTATGTTCGGTTTTCATCACGCGTACTGCTCCGACTCTCTCTGGCGATGCTTTGATAAGCATTTCATTTCCGAGCGCACCTGCAAAGCCACATCATTCCGCAACTTGCCGTTGTCAACACACTTCGCTTCACTCCATCGCTTTCTTTGCCTGTCTCATCAGCATCTAAATTCCTGCCAAATGAATACGTTTCTTGTTACCGCTCTCGCCGCGCTGACTGTTGCCACTCTCATCAATGGAGAAGATTGCTCCGGATTCCAGCAAAGTAAAGCTTACTGGTCAATGAAGGACCTGCTAGGTGACACCATGAACAGCTGCTCTGATCAATCAGGTTACAATATGCTGAAGTCCACATCGCCTCCAACTGCCAAGGACACCGCCGCTATGTGTAAGGTGAGCATATGCCATGATTTTATTGAACAAGTAAGGAGCACCGATCCCCCGGACTGCGACCTCTACATTCCCTTGAGTGGTGCTGTCATGAACGTCAAAAGCCTGGTTGACGAGTTCAAGCCAACGTGCGAAAAATTAGAATCAAGAATGTTCCTCGCCTCGACACCAAAGTCATTCAATTTTCGTGGTGGTGTCTAGTCATTTCGCATAGAAATTTTTCAAGCTAACCTGCGAAATATAGGACCTGTCTCACATTTTGCAACCTATATTTGCGTTGGACAGTAGACCGACCAGCAGGAGCACTGAAAAGTAAGTTTATAATGTGAGTTATGTAAATACTTTGACATATTTTCAGTACATATTCGAGTCAGACAAAGTATCCAGTTGTCTTTATGTAAAACCAGCTATGTAATTTTGAAAGTTGGTTATAACTAGAACTTATCAAAAAAATTTCTCTAAGCTCTAATCTGATATGAAGGGGTACTATCCTTCGCAGAGCATAAATTCAACAGAATTCCCGTTTATTTCTGTATTCGAGAAAAATGTGCATTTGCATCCCGTGTGACGACGATTGTTGCTGTTGCCTCTGTGGCTCGCTAACCGCTCTGTGCTGCTGCTGTGGTGGAGATGATCGACACCGGCACAGTCACCATCGCCACTCGCCTCGAGCCGACCGCGTTGTCTACGTGAATCCTGTGGTTGTCCAACAAGGCCCTCCGCAGTACGGACATCCACATCACAACGGCGGATATTACGATCGAGTTTAATCAGAAAAAATCCAGCGACGATCGAAGTCGAAATATTGATACTTAAGCAAGATACAAGACAACCATGATGTACTTTGCAAGTATAGACCCCGAAGGCTGCTCATAGACGGTACTTTTGCATGGTATACCGATAGAAAAAGCAGTAAATTTATTTTTTGAGTCTTCTTGTTGGGAATGTCCTATTTAGCTGCCGCCGAGTTATTGCTCGAAACAAAGAGCTCTTGTTTGACTGTTAGGTAGGTAATTAAGGAAGCGATAGAATTAGAACATCATCGAGCAAAAGTACCTCGATTATATGCAAACATATATATCGTTTTAATTCTTAAAAAACGATATTATATAATATCTCCAAAATCTAAAATAGTTGTAGAAATCGATAATCAACTGCTTTAACAAACCATTATGTATTTGCCGAACCAAATATCGGACAATTCTAGTACGCATTGTGCTGTTTCATGAGATGATTGTGGTCGTTCGCATCATTTAATCCAATTTGCTCTTGCACTTTTACAAGTTGTCACTCCAATGATCCTCCATTTTTGCCTTAAGGTCAAGAATAACGAGAAAGTATCGTCTACTGAAATAACACAGCAGCACTATACTGTTGTGCTCGTAGGCGCAAAAAACTCAAATTATGCATTGATTTTCATTCCTTTTTTAGTTTATTTGGCGTTTGTGAGACTGACGCTCTACCAACTGAGCCAAAGGAGCGTCCATTATTTGGCGTTTGTGCCGCTTGTGATATAACTAGGTAAATACCGACGTAAAACGCATTCAAAGAATTCAATTTAAATAACTTTTATAGATTGACTTCTCATCTCCAAGTATCAAAGATTACATGTAACATTGTGCTGGACGTGGCGCGAGATTCACTCTAGAGTTGTGCAACAGCCTCGGAATTCGATAAACACCAGCACTTCTCTCTGTTGCGACCCTACTGTACTGTCGTTCTTTCATACGAAGATCTTGGTAAACAAACGATGGGATTGCTTGAGAGACATCCAAGCCGCCAAGTCGCCTTAGTCGAAATTGTGCATCTTCGGTCAAGGGTTGAAAGACTTTAAGTACAAGGTTACTGTCCCGCCGTAAAGCGTCCGCATGTCCAGCTGATAAGCATTCAGAGTTCTTCTTGAACAATGACGGACTTTCGATCGCTTTCTCGATCGGATGCTGAACCCATTGCACGACTCGGTCCTTGCCCACTCCCTGCTGAAAATTATCTGCGGATTTGACACCACTGAGGTCAAGGGTCATGCACTCTGCATCCACGTCATAAGCTTCTCTGACTTCAGCCTTTTTCAAACTTTGCCGCCGCATTCTCGCGTGCATTTGCGCTTCAAAAATGTTACCAACGGACTTTTCACGCTCTTGGTGTTGCCACTTGCGTCGTTGATTGATCATTACCTTGGGTACGAGAAAAGCAAAAGCCTCCCGTTGCTCGATGTAACTGTGAGCCCCCAGATTTACAGTTTAGCAAAATACAAAATCGTTGGTGCTAGTCAGAGATTGCTTGACCTAAAAAGTTAAAGTAACTGTTGGATTTCAAAATTGTAGAAATGTTGTCAGGTCCTGGCAGTCCTTGCGGGCGCGGTACGTTATAATACCGCTACTGACGGTAAGTTGAAGTATGATGACATCGGAGGGAGAATTGCCCTTGATCGGTGTTTGATTACTGCAATGCAACTGAAATTGCATCCTATGTTGAGGTTTCTAGTAATTGCACTACTTGATTTTTTTTCAGTTATAACAGATATCAACTTTTTGTATCTAAGTTATAGTCAGTCACCTCTTCACAAATTGAGAATTAAAAGTACACAGAAAATATTCATTCGTTCGGTCATAAACGAGCAGATTTGCGTAATCATCGTCGTCGCCTAAGAAGTTTTTGCCCAGATGCATTACTGCTTAAAATTTCCGAAGCGCATTCATTCGGTTGTATAAAATTCTAGTACCGAGAAACTCGTAAATATCCATGAATAGTCATGAATTAAGTAGCTCCGTTGGTGAATGAAGAATCAACCGTACTCAGCTTCGACAAAGTGTGAAAAAGTTGTTGTCCCATTCCATTCTGCATTTCGCTTCTCATCTCCAGCAAACTCCGTACCATGGCTTTGTCGCCTCCATTAACAGAATAATTGCTAATTTTGCTGAGTAGGTATCAGCTCCAATACTCCCCGGACGTTGCGCTTGATGAAATGATGATACGAACGTGATGAATGTATATATTCCTTTTAGCCGTCTATGAACAGGTTGTAAAAAGTAAAGATCGCGTTAGTTTACAGACCAAGTCACCAAAAACTAACCGAACAACCTGAACAATCCGAAGCTATAGTTGTAACAATAATTGGCAAATGTGAATAATGAATAAACGCAACGACAATTCTGCGGCTGACATTTCAAAATTGCATGATGCATAAAATCCAAATTATTGTATGGTATGACTATTAAAATATTAGTACTGGTTCCACAAATTTTAGGTTTCGCATATTGTCAAAAAGTCACAAAAAAATGCTAGACATACTTGCGGTATATTGGCGAGTTGAGTTAAAATTTGAGAGAGTTGACTTGCAGAATTAGGAAAGACCATCGTTTATTCTCAATGTAATACTAAGAGGTTCTTGTAGAGAAATATACAGAAGCAATTTCTAAGACTTCGGAATATGAATTTCAGAAACGTCAATTGAAACAAAAGCGTCAAAAAGAAATCAATTATTGCGGTACCCGCCTTTTATACTACGCAATTGCCTAAACGCTACGAAAGTTGTATGACTTTGTCTTGACGTCAGTAGAGCGAGATTCGGGGAAATTCAAGCCGCAGGTGTTGGAATATTCTCGGACAAGGACATTGACGTTGAATCGAATGTTGCTTGTAGGGATCAAAAGATCACAATCTGGTGGATTGGTAGCCTTAACCTTCCGAATGAGATCATTGCACTGTTGTACAGTGCACATGGTGCGTTTGGTCTCCTCAGACGGAGGCGCCGTAGCTTTGGTCATGTCGAAACCCGACTGACTAGCGCACTCTGAAAGGGACGCGTCGCCCAATAGTGAAATCATATTCGTAAAGGCAAGGTTCTGTTCTTCTTGTGAGCAACTGCTCCCGTTGGCAAACGCGGCAAGGGACAAGACGGCGGCGGCTACTGCATAGAACGCTTTCATTTTGCAGAAATACTGTGTTGATGTGAGTGATGTAGATGAAGTGAGTTGTGATGCCAGTGGCAAGTTTTGAAATGATTTTGATCTGCAAGATCATTCAATTGCACAAAAACATGAAACAGCCATGAGCGAAAAGTGTACGGAGAATATACTGACTTGATATTTCGTTCTTCTAAGATATGCGGCAGAGCTGGAATCTCTGGCTAGTCTGAATCATTTCCATACTGCATATGAGAATACAACCGCTCTTTTTATACTCTGGTACTGCATATTTTTGAAGAGAGTTTTCAAAACTAAATATTTAGTTCGGGTGATTGTTGCCATGACACATGCTCATATACCGCAATTGTATATGTAGAACTTTGGTGTGTCTGCCGATAGAGCGAGATGAGAGCTGCACCTATTTTGGCGACTGCTACCAAGACTTGACATATGATCTGTGCAATGTATCCAGAGGATCAGGTTAAGAGGGGATGGTGTATCCTATAGACTGGTCCGGATCAGCTTTTGATTGTAAGTATACGTCAACAAACTCCGACACCATGTTCTCTGAATACATTTTGCAACTTGTTACCAAGTTTCTGTCGAAAAATGTGTCGCTACCTTGATTTTTCGAAAAACAGGCAACGGTATTCGAATTACAATTAACAAATTTACTTTCCGTGCGGTATATTATTTGCTGCGAATTTTCGCACCACCAACTGATAGAATCATCGCGATTTATTCGTCATTTGCTCTACATTTAAAACCTACACAATAATTTTATCGTGAGTCTATTTTCTGGTCACGAATAGGAGGTCAAGTTGTCTATGCCACAGAACCTCAATTCCAAGGTGCACCAAGGAAAATACCTCAAAGAGACACTGATGTTCTATGCCGCATATTGTCCCCTTCCGTTGACTTTTCACACAATGCTTGCTGTCAAAAAAAGTAATAAAATTGGCAGTCAATGTCTGCAATTATTTATGAAGCGAATTTTGCAAATGGACGCGGCGTTACCGTAGACATTCAATCGACGACGAGAGTAAATGCATGGAGGCATCTACTTCAATGGAGAATGGTGAGCTCCAAAATTTATTACGACTCACTAAGTGCTAGTTTCAAAATTTAGTAATATTGCTACAGTGTCCATCAGCAATATTTGTCATACAATGATAATTTTGACTTTGTCATGGGCGCCGTTCGAGCGTTGCATATTGTGCACAACATATACGACAACGAAAAAATTAACATGCTCAATTACCCAAAGTTGTGATCATGGTGAATCTTCTTGTACTTGTTCGAATAATCACATAGCGAACTTTAGACGATTAGCGAGCGAGTTTCCAGTCTGCCAATCGACATCAAACTCGCTTTGCGCTTTGTCAAGCGAATGAAGCTCCCATTTTGTTGCTGGTTGCATTTCTTTAGTTTTGTTACATTCGGTAATTGTCAACATTTCTATGCTGAAAAAGTTTAGAGCCTGAACCTTGTTACCATGGTAAGGTCGATGAACTTTTAAACTTGGCACATGGTGACTTTGATGTCAGGAGTTTGTGCGGACTTAATTTGGTCATATCATTATCTATAATGTGGGCGCCATCAGATGTTGCTGACAACAAAAGTTATGTCATGGACTACACTTCTTAACATACTTTTGTACTGAAACACTGCTTAGAGAAAAGCATATAGAGCATAGTTAACATTTACATAATTTTGTTTAGCTCCACATAAATACAGCTTGCGTTGAAGAAAATTATACACTTCGTCGCTGAAACCAATATAGATATCGTTGAATAACATGAACGCAGACCAGGGATGTGCAGTATATTAAACAATTGAGCAATTACTCTAAAATGACGAGTCATTTACCCATAAATTGCACCAGAACATAAAATGTTTAGAAAATTTCGCGAAACGTTAAAAAAGAGTGTTGAAGCATAGTGTGAGATAGAATCCATACATGTACAATATACCTGTCCGGATGTCTCACTGCACGAATCTGATGCTAAATCCAAAAAAAAACTTCAAGTAAGAATACTTTAGCACATTGGAATCCAGAAACTGGTCTGGCCAATCCGAACCGCTGCTTTTTGGGTACACCGTCCTGCTCTTTTAAATACACTGCACCAATTCTCAGAAGATGCGTCTTAGTTACGAGATCCCTCTCCATTTCAAAAGGCGGTAAGCGACTAATATCGAGGCCAAAATTTAGTATAATCTATAGTCATGAGTGCAGACATTCATTCAGCTTTATTATTACTTAATATAATGTATACTATAATCAAACTGTTAACTTTTGACCATTTCATAATACGAAAGTGCTTATTGAGTAAGAAAAGCTCTAGACAATTTCCGTGAAATAAAGGGGACCAAAATTGCTGAAAACAATAGCCGCGAATGTCTGAGATGATTTCGTCAGCGTAATTTTGTCTTGCATGTGATTATCACATTGATAAAGAATTGTCTTAGTTAACGGCATATTGTAAATTACGAGCATACTGCTGAAACGTTGCTGTAATAACTTATAGGCCTTTACAGCTAAAGTAAAGTGTATCCTCATGCTACAGTCAAATAAGAAGCCTGAGAACCTAAAGACAAACTGTTATAGCAGCATAGAGTTTTAAACTTTCAGCTATCAGTTAAGTGAGTGCAGTTTGCTCTTCGTAACTTTGGTTCCAGCTACTACATATGCACGCTGCACTGATCAAATGTTTGGTCTTTATCATAGAAAATAATTATCTTCATTTTTAAAAGTATTAGTTTTTGTAGTGATATGGGGCTGTAAGAAGTGATGATTGTATCATTGGACCTCTTATGACGTCCTCAGGGGTCCGTTACTTCGGTGCTTCTTAAACTTTGCACAAAAGTATGATGTCGTAATGGGGGTACGACCCCATCTGCTTTATCTCTCAAAACATGAACCACACTGGGGTCCACACTTATCTGGTCGTTAACATTGCGCAAAAGTGAACGCTCACCGAGCCTTAGCGTTTATCTCCGCCACACGTACCTTACAGTATCAGCTCTTGGGAGCTTCATCTGCATGTCCTCATGGCTCAGCAAGCCTCTGAGATAGGCACCGTCAGTACGGCCGACGAGTAGAGAATCATATTCGGCGAGGAGGATGAGTTGTCCTAGAATGAGAGTTGTCAGAATGACTCTCCGCTTTCAAAACCACACCTTCGTCACAGAGTGTGCGCGAATTTTTTTCACTGAGGATAACACGTACTTTACTCCATGGATAAATCGCGCACATTAAGCTT